TCAAGTTGTCTTATTTGTTTGTCTATTCAAATCACTCATTCATTACGTTTGATTGATAAGATTTTTTAGTTTTTGTGTGAGTGAATAAGAAAGTGTACACGGAGAAAACAAAGACGAAGACTTCTTGCGAAAATGTTACACAAAGCTTAATGGCGTCCAACTATTGCCCTCAAAGATAATAATTTAGAAACCTTCAAACCACCCCGCAATAACCAAATAGGAAGAATCTACACGCAATTGGACTCCACTTTTTTTTCCCACCCAGCAAGCAGATAAAATCAAAGTCCCTTTTTATACAAACCAAAGGCTACATAATTTTAAAAAAAAGGAAAAAAAAAAAGAGGAGAATATTCTAGCAAGCCTGTTGATTCGCGGAATTACGTTTTCCTTTCCCACGGGGGAGGACGGTTGTGATCAAATGATGGTGCTCCTCACACACATACGTCGTCGATTTTTTAGGATTTGACATTTTTTTTCACTGTCACCGGAAGTCAACAGTTCAACGCTCCACATCAAATCTTCTCAAGCTTCTCGGCTTTGACCAACGGATTGGCTCTGGCGATCTCGTCTCTTCCGACCTTTTTGAAGTCGAACGTGCACCCGTGCTGCTCCGGGTACCTGTGCGTCCCGCAGAACGTGGTTCCGCATCTGCACTTGAACCCGGTCAACCCGACCCGCTTTCGGCATACCATGCACCGGTTCGGCTGATGGCGCGGTTGTTCTGCAACTGCCGCTGCGGTTCCCTCGACAGGAACCGGTGAATCTACCTTGACGTCGGGTAGAGTCAACGACGGAGGATGACACGCGGATTCGGTTGACGTTGAGGACGATGAAGGAGAGGAGAGGGAGGATTTGATTGAAGCTTGCTGTTGTTCTTTGAGACAGAAATCTCCGTAGCATTTGGAGCACAGGTTCATCGTCGCTGGACTACCGAAGAAACCGCAATTGTTGGCGCAAAGACGGTGTCCTTCCGGTGCTTGACATCCATGCTCCTCCGCCATACTTCTCCTTCGTACGATGTCTGGATCTGTTAATTCTGTTAACAGCAGATCCGGATGATTTGATCGATTGATCCGCACGAGAAATCTGCAAAACCGAGAGGGGATAAAAAGATAAGATAAAAAAAAATTAAGGCTCAGCAGAATAAAAAAATTAACGAATTATCATTTGAATAACAGGATCTATATGAAAGAAAATTGTGGGAATTACTGAAAATATAATCAATTTTCCTGGATTTTCTCATCAACCAAACAGAAGGTAATGAAATCTGGAAAAACAAGAGATCAGAGAATAAGAATTACCTGTTTTGAGGATTGATGAGAGAGATAAATTTGGGAAGAATGAATTGAAATAAGAAGGGAAAGGAGGAATTTGAAGAATTAACAGGGGGAAAGGGTCAGAGGGAAGAATATTAAGAAGGGGGAATAAAGAGAGAGATGAAGGGACGGCGAAAAAGGACAGAATGAAGAAGAAGAAGAAGAA